TCCAGGTCAGTCTTTACGTTTCCCTCAAACCTTGAGGGCGCCTTCCACAAAATCAGTATCTAGTTACTATAATTTTGTTATTCAGCACTCAGGAGAGCTTGCCCTTGTATGGGAAGCCAATGTCACGTATTGGAGGATTGATTTGAGCTCCAATGATGTTATTATGGAAGCAATATTTGATTCTAATGGTGCTTTAGGGCTAGTTGATGATAAAAGTAGAACAGTTTGGTCCGTAGCAAGTGAGGACTTTGAAGATCTCTCTGTGGCTTTGAGGCATCTTAGGATTGATTCTGACGGTAACCTGAGAATTTACTCATGGGTTAATTTGCTTCATGCTTGGAGAGTAGGGTGGCAGGCAGTTGAGAACCAGTGCAACATCTTCGGTTCTTGTGGTTTGTACAGCATATGTGGCTTTAATTCGACAGGACCTATTTGTGATTGTCTGTATCAGGATTCAGTTGCTTGGGGATCTGACCTTCCCTTGGTGGATTCTAGTGGTTCTGGATGCAGGAAAATGGCTGATTTGGAGAACTGTAAGATGAGGACTAGCATGTCAACCCTGAGACAGACAGTTCTGTATGGTCTTTATCCCCCTCAAGATGTTGATATGATGCTAAGTGAGGCAGCTTGTAAAGAGTATTGCTCCAATGACACCAGTTGTATGGCAGCCACTTCAAAAAATGATGGCTCGGGAGTTTGTACAATTCAAAGAACGAGCTTTGTAAGTGGCTATAGGAGCCCATCAAGTCCTGCAGTTTCCTTCTTGAAGGTGTGTTTGGTTCCTCAGGCAGTTTCAGCTAGGGGAGCTAATCCCCACAGCAGTGCCAAGTCAATTCCTTTGACATCTACAAGATTCCTTGGTCGTGGAGGTGACAAGAATATGTTTATAAGGGCTATCATTTTAATAGTTTCGGTAACAACCATGGGCTTTATCACCATTGAGATTTTTGTGCTTTGGTATATCTATCGAAGATGGCAAACTGAAGCTCAAGCAAGGATCCCATTTGGAAAGTACACTCTGATGAATCATCATTGCAGCTTTCTCATCAGAGTATCTTTTGAGGAGATAAAACAGATTACTAGTAACTTTTCAAACCAGCTTGGCCCCTGTGTCTACAAAGGTGTGTCTCCCCATAAAAGCCCTATTGTTGTGAAGGTATTGGACAACGTTGTTGCAAGCGAGAAAGATTTCCAAGTTGTGGTTTCTACCTTGGGCCAAATGTATCATCGGCACCTTGTGCCTCTGAAGGGTTCCTGTTTTGAAGCAGAACACAAGTGTCTGCTATATGAGTATATTTCAAATGGCTCTTTGGATAAGTGGCTATTTGACGTGGAGAAAAGAAAGACTGAACTAAATTGGCAACGGAGGCTTGATATTGCTCTTGGGGTTGCCCGAGCGCTTGCATATTTGCACACAGAGTGTCAAACATGTGTAGCACATGGGAACTTGAAGCTTGAAAATGTCTTGCTTGATGAAAAGCTTGTTCCAAAGGTTACAGATTTTGGGCTTAGGACCCTTCTCGGAAAGGAAGCGGCTTCTTCTTCAGAGTCTCCAATAGAAAGAGATATTTTCATGTTCGGGGAGATGCTAATGCAAATTGTTACCTGTGAAAGTGACATTCTTGGTGGCGATATGCACTCGCTCATTACTATGATTAATGAAGAACATAAATTGGAGGATAGCGTTGCTTCTGAAAAATTAGAAAGAGCTGTAAGAATAGCTCTTTGGTGTTTGCAAAACCAACCATTTTTACGGCCTTCCATTGGTGAAGTGGTTAAGGTATTGGAAGGTTCACTTTCGGTAGATAGGCCCCCATCAAATTTTGCTTTTAAACAGGGCTGATAGATGGTTGACTGAGATTGAAGTAAATGCCTAGAAGAAGACTGACTTAGGTTTCTCATATATAGTATAGAGCTTGGGAGGTTTTGGTTTCCAAGTAACTGATTAATTACAAGGATGCTGCATGTTATTGACATTTCTGAGATATAAATGATACTGGTTTCCTAATTGTTGTTCATTCTCTTGCATGGAAGTCATTGTTTTTGTTAAGCCAACCAATCTGAATACCAAATGATATGTTGAGAAAGCAAAGAGTTAGTGTCTACCATGTTTGTGTTGTACCATCTAACAACAGTTTGTCAAATATTAATATTTTGTTTCTTGGAATTGAAGGTATAATTAAATGATTTAATCAACAAATATGAAAAATATATTTTTCAATAGGTAAATTAACTTGTGAAATATTAATTACATAAAAATCGTTGAATGAATTAGAAAACGAAGCTAAATCTATTAACAATGATCATGAATTTTCTGAGAAAACAAAAATTATATAAAAAAGAAAAGTAAGTAATTTATTTTTGAGTTTGGCATAAAGAATATTATTTTGAAAAACAGGCAAATGTTTGTTGTATAAAAATAATTACAATGTATAAGAAATCAATTTTTTACTTTACACATTAAGAGGATACTATTGTCTATAATTAATTTTACAGATTATTTCATCTTGATAAAAAAGATCAATTAAACCATCCTTTAACAAGATTTTACAGATTATAGTTTTAATTTTTAATTAATAATATACATAAATATTAATTTTAAATTTATTTTAATTGAATATTTATGAAGTTCACAAATCATACTAAATAATAAAATATAGATTAAAATACCTAAAAAATAACTAGTAAACGGGGATTGAACCAAAGGAAAGGCTGAACACAGTAATAATAAAAATGGTGATCCTTTGAAACGTACACAAACAATAGCATTCTTTCAAGAGGATCCATGTTCAGTTTGTATAATTTCTCACGTTTTTTTTTATTTTTTTATTTTTTTTCTTTGAGAATGAAATTGTAGTGTAGATGCCAACAATAAGAATTAAATCCAAAATAACTGGTTAGCTTATCTTATCTTGATCATCAATGGACTCAATTAGTCATTGGCTTGTACAATTTCTTATCATCTATTATTAAATTTGGCAATGAGTTAATTAATTACCATTAATCATTACCACATATTGTTGTATTATTAGAATCTTGATGATCTCTCGAAAGTACAAGTCCACATTAACTTGAGTTTTAAGAAAGATAATATTTGATATAAAAAAAAAGTATATTTTTTATAATGTACTTAATTAAATTATATTATAATGATTTATAATAAATTATTATAATATAAGATTGTAACATAGTCACATTACAGTTAATAGATGTAATATAATTACGGTTTAAAACTAATACGATTTGATTGTATTGTTCTCTACAATATTTTTAAAAGCATATTTTCCTTTTAACTTTTAAAAAAATTACTCACAATTAAAATAAAATAAAAAATATAAAAAATTATATTAAAAAAATAAAAATAAAAATAAAAATAAAAATATAAAATTATTATAAAAATGATATTACATAAAAATTAATAATTAAAAATATAAATATTTTAAATTTATATTTTATTATATAAATTTAATTTTAAAAATTAATATTATATTCTTAATAAAATATTTATAAAAATTTAATATTATTTTTTTATATTTTACTCATAACTTTACTCGTATATAAAAAATTATAATATTATCTTTTTTCACATTTGTTATAATAAAATAAGATGCAATGGATAAGACACCAAGAAGATCAAAATTTCAGGCGACATGCAGATAGTAAAGCATGGGTTGACGCTTGCACACGCATTCCTTCACAAGCTGAGCCTGAAACCATATCAACCACTCACTCAATTACTTAACTAAAAATTTATATATACGACCAGGAATTGCCAAAGGCCCATCTCATATTTTCTCACTCTCTTCTCTCTTATGTTGTGACACCGTGAACCGTTTTCAGCCTCAGGTTGTTTCTCTTCTTTCTTCCTCGTTGTGAAGTAATCAGCCAAAATTATTGTTAACACTTAAAAGATCAAGAAAAGAAGAAAAGAGTGATATAGAGAGAGGCAGCCATGGATGTTCTCAGAGCTTCTTCGGGCATTGTTCCTTCACCATACATTCCAACAGCAACAATCAACAACACCCAGTTTACTAAACCTTTGTTTCGGAATTCTCTGTTCAAACCACTTCATCATAAAAACGTATCGAATTCCAAGTTGTTTACCACCTTGTCATCATCCCCGGCATCCACAGAATCTGTGGATCGACCTCAGCCAGAAGTTGAGGCTGACAGTGAGCAAGGGAAATTTGACTGGTATGCACAGTGGTACCCAGTTATGCCAGTGTGTGATTTGGATAAGAGGGTGCCCCATGCAAAAAAGGTGTTGGGACTTGATCTGGTGGTGTGGTGGGATAGGAATGAGAATGAGTGGAAAGTGTTTGATGATACTTGCCCTCATAGGTTGGCTCCTTTGTCTGAGGGAAGAATTGATCAATGGGGGAGGTTGCAATGCGTATACCATGGTTGGTGCTTCAGTGGCTCCGGTAACTGCAAGTTCATTCCTCAAGCTCCCCCGGATGGCCCTCCGGTATTCCCTCTTGAACGATAACCTGATTTCTTAATTCACATTTGCATGTTTAATCTGTTCCCTTTCTTCTTTCTTGTTGTTAAGATAGTGAGGAGCTTATGTATCTTATGGTTCGTCTTCCCACAACTTATGTTGATTTTGTAATCACAGTCCATTTCCAGCAATTTCCTGTGATGTCTGGGTCTGAGCATTTTTGGCAAAAAGGATACTCTTCTTTACCTTTACATTCAAATTTGCAGGTCCACACATTCAAGAAAGCATGTGTGGCCGCTTATCCTAGCACCGTGCAGCATGACATTTTGTGGTTTTGGCCAAATGCTGATCCTCAATACAAAGATATTATTACGAAGAAAAAGCCCCCTTACCTTCCGGAATTGGAGGATCCTTCATTTTCAAAGTTGATGGGAAACAGAGATATTCCTTATGGGTATGCAAAGTCATAACTTGAGATTATCAAAAGATTCAATTCTACTGTTATGTCTTAGTATGGCCACATGCACTGCCTAAGCCAGTGTTTCTTTTTTCTTGCATACATCCCAACAAAATTTTGTATCCATTTTCTCTCACTAAAGCATATGACTTCTGAGCTTGATTACTTAAAATTTGAACTTAATCCTATCCTTAAATTCTAAATTTTGCCTTACCTGGCTGTAAATAACTTCAATAGATTCAAGCCAAGGGAAGTCCTGATGTCTATTAGCTTCTGCAATGTCAGAATTTGGTGATCAATTCCATCTTATTGCTTCTTCCCTTCCATTTTCTCATCTTTATAGCTTCTTGAATGATGCTACTACTTCAACATCTTTTGGAACTCATAGTTCTCCCGGCATGTCATTTGTACTACTCCCTTCGCTCATGGTGTTAGTCACCACTCACCACTACTCCTTCAAGGACTCACTGTAGATAATTATAGACCTCTACTCTTGATCCTTAAAGGAATAGGCAGCTACTGTGACTTTTTTAAGTCCTAGATTGCATTGGACTATATTTTGTTATAGTACAGAACTTTGAATGAATTAAAAAGGTGGTGATGCACATAATTAAAAAGAAAGAGCATAACTAAATCCAAAACCATCCGGAATGAGTTGGATCTTGCTGAAAGGATCATTTGGCAAATTGGACAAACTTCTTTCAGCAGATAGAAGGTTAACTAAAGTTTACAGAAGTTCTATTGAGAACGTAGAACTACAAGTCTACATGCAGGAGACACCTAATACGATTGGTATTTGCTGAATTTTCTTTAAGTAAACTTTCTCACTTTCAGGTATGAGGTCTTGATTGACAATCTTATGGATCCTGCTCATGTTCCATATGCACATTATGGAATAATGCAAACTCGGAGCCCCAAGAGTAAGAAGTTCTTAATGTATTTCAAGACTTTTTCCCTCCTCTCCCAAATGAATTTCACACATCTAATTGTACATTATCCTTCACAGTCAAGGCTGACAGAGAAGGGGGAAGACCACTTGAGATGAGTGCCAAGAAGTTGGATGTAAATGGTTTCACTGGAAAGCAGGACTGGGGCAGTTCTAAATTTATTGCACCTTGCATCTTTCATGCTTATGCTGATCCTGCAGTTGATCAAAGAAATGGATCTGAAACCCCAACTGAAACCAAAAAGGTTCTCCATTCAGCTTTGAATTAGCTATTTGGTGTAATTAATATTGTATATTGCTGTTATTGGCGTTCCAGATGGTTTTATTCATAAAACTGTAATTTGTGCAGGCATCACCAGCAAATCGGAAACTTTCTTTGATTTTTATGTGTGTTCCAGTCAGTCCAGGTAATAGCAGATTGATCTGGACCTTCCCGAGAAACTTTGGTATTTGGATTGATAAAATTGTTCCACGATGGATGTTTCACATTCGACAGAACCTGATTCTTGATTCTGATTTGTATCTTCTTCATGTTGAGGTGATTCGTATATCTCGTGCTCAAACAAAAGTTTCATTTATAACCATTCTTAAGGAAAGTATTTATTTTGGTGTGCTCACTAATACAATTATGTGATCAACCACTAACAGAGAACTGGGAAGTTTCTAATCAGGATTGTACTACCTAACATCCGCCTCTCATTGTAGGAGCGTAAGATAATGGATATTGGTTCTACCAATTGGCAAAAAGCTTGTTTTGTGCCTACAAAGTCAGACGCCTTAGTGGTTGGTTTCAGAAGGTGGTTAAACAAGTATGCTGGCAGTAAGATTGATTGGAGGGGGAAGTTTAGTGGAGCTCTTCCTCCATCCCCTCCTAGAGAACAACTGATGGACAGGTAAATCAAGTACTTCATCCTACAACCTTGACTTTCTGAGTGAATGGTCATGCATCTTTCCTCTGATGATGTTTAGTGGCCAAAACAAAAATTAGTGTCAGTGATTTTTAACTATTAGAACTGTTAGTTCAATAAGAAGCTTTTTGTTAACTTCCGCAGGTACCGGTCTCATGTGGTGAACTGCAAGAGTTGCAATACTGCATACAAGGGTCTCAATGCACTTGAAGTCATCTTGCAAGTCATATCCCTTATTTCGATTGGGATTGTTGCTGCAACAAAGCAGGGTGTGATGTCAATGGTCACTAGAACAACAGTGGTTTCGATGGCAATCATATGCTTTGCAGCTTCAAGATGGTTGGCTCACTTCATCTACAAAAATTTCCATTACCATGACTATAACCATGCCTTTCGCTGAGATTAGTGATTCACCAATAATTTAGTAAGGTGAAGCTAATTGGGCACTTGTATAAACCTAATAGGCAACCATATTTGGCTAGCAGTTTCAGAACCACAGTTAAGAGACCTTAGTTGTTGTCTTCATCTTGAAGTAAACATCTGTTTCAAAAAGCGACCACAATATATGCATTTCGAATTGCTTTGCATTTTGAATTGGCTAGCAGTTCAGAGCTGAGCAGGCTGCCTGCTAACGGTGCAAAGGGGAAGATACCGAAGGTGAATCCGTGTATCAGAATAAACTTGGATGACTTTATTAGCCAAAGTGCGATGCTTGATATTTGAAACAATTTTCTCATTTCGGTCCTCTCCCAGCATGAAGTCTTCGTTGCTTTAGCTGGAATTTCAGGTCTGGGTAAAATGTGAAGTTGTAAACCCATAATCTTCCTTGCTTTCTGGGTTCAAAGGTGTAACTGCTACACTTACAAGAAGCGCTGCAAAAGTAAGCAGAAGACAACATTGATTTAGTAACTTTTCAGAGTTACACCACATAAGTGATTAACTTGAATACTTCATATGAATCTTAACGATTTTGCTTACATCAAATATAAGGGGGTACATCCAAACGTACTCCCCATTTGCACTTACCTCATGTGCTCATAAAAAAATTTGGCCTTGTTAGTTTACAAAAAATTATTATACCCCATAAAGCTTTAAAAGCTTTTCACTTGAGTCCCTAAAGAAAATAAATAGGTTAGGAATTTTTATTGTCAAGTAAACTAACATCACTTTAGGTCCTTTCTCACTATCAAGTCGCATATCTTAACAAATCTGTTTAGTGGTTGTTTAGGGTAGTTGGAAGAGTAAATCGTTGACGAATAATATGTCAAGTTGAAAAGTTAAAGACTTAAAACTTAAAAGTGATTGGAGTTTATAGACATAATGCTCAAAAAAGTCTCTAAACTATTTAAGAAAATGCAAATAAGTCTTTATAACTTTTATTGTATTCAATCAAGCTCTTATATTTTCATTTTGGATCAAATAAACCCTTATGACTAATGGTTAACTAATTATCATTAATCGAAATACCATTTGTCATTTATGTTCACATAATACTAACGTGGTGATAATTTAGAGAGTGAAAAATGCCACATGATTATGTCATTATGTTATATTACTATGTCACGTTATTATTAATTATGATATGTCTGCCTGTCGTGTTATCCTCAATTAGGACATGTCAACATGTCATGTGGTATAGAATGACAAGTGGTGTTTTGATTAAGTCAACCAAGGGCTTATTTGACTCAAAATAAAAATATAAGAGCTTATTTAGTTAAAAATAAAAATTCATGGGTTTGATTGAATGCAATAAAAGAATAAGGGCTTATTTGAATTTTTTATAAATGGTTTAAGGGTTTTTTAGGTATTATTCCAGTTTATAATGTACCAAATTATTACCATCAGCCATCCACTACAAAAAAAGGGTTTTACCGATGGAAATGATTCCATCTATAAATTTCGTTGACATTGCCAACAGAGTACAGATCGATTTCATAGTAAACATGTTGCGAGAAAAATGGACGAAATATTGACAGAAGGCATTCTTTTGGAAAGTGGTCGGTAATTTGATGGCGCATATTGAACAAGGAAGGCACAAAGATTCTCGACCAGTCCTGTTCATCGGTGTTGATGATCTTCGACGGGATTTAGAGATTAGATTCTCAATGGGAATATCCGTCAACAATGCATTTACAATATTGACAGAGTTTCTCATAGAATTGCCATAAGTAACGTTGTTTCAGAAATTTGTAGATTTATTAACTATATTATCGATGGAGTTTCTGTCAATAATATCTTATAGGATTTTTAATTATTGATGAAGTATTCTGTTTGTAAATTTAATAAATAGATAACCCCATTAGGC